AGAGAGGAACTTTTCCAGCCTGTTTCATCCAGGCCACCAACATGTCCTGGCAATTTTAACAAACTGACCCCAAGCTCCCATAAATGGCTGTTTCCATCCCCAGGACTGCACACGAGGCAGCTGAGCCTTGCTCGGTTTGAATTGCTGGTGACAAACCAGGGAGAAGCTTCGGGGTTCTTCCCTGCCCTGATGGAAAGACAAGGCCTGTGAATGGATTGCTGGGTGACTTCTTCCCAACAAATCCCATGTGAGGTGGGATTCGCAAACCTTGCTGTTGTCTTCCTGCCCCTGATGATGCAGCCCTGGATATTTGGCCACAAGACTCGCCCTTCCCTCTTCTTCCCCACTTCCTCTTCCCCAGGCGCCGAGTTCCCAGCTCTCTCCTCCAGCTTCAATAACAACAGCAGCGTCACCGGCAAAACAGCAGGCAGGAAGGTGACACACGCAGGAGCAGTGACAAACAGCTGAACATCTGACTTGGAGTTATTCAAGTGTCATCACCCCCCCGGGGCATGTGACAAACCCCATGTTATGGATCCGTGTGCCAGAGGGAGGAACTGGAAACGGGGTTGGCACGACCCACAGGCTACCAAAACAATGTAGTTTTCCTGAACCCAGAGCGTCAGAACAGCTCTGAGCACGTCCTGTGCCGCTGTGCCTGCAGCTCGCACTGAGGGACATCCTGAAAGGGATTTCCCAAGCGCTGCCAGTGCCGTAGCCATAGAAGCAGGAGATAAAAATATTTGCACAGAACCTTGGGGGGCAGGGTTTGCAGCCTGGGCTGTACCACACAGCATTCCTTCTCAACAACACTGCTCAGATACTTGTAAGTCTGGAGTGCCTCAAATATTTCTTCCATTAGTACCTCCCGTGGGATACCTTCCTCCGTTTGTGCCTCCGCAGGATGACTTTATTATTTTTTTTTAAGCCTTTGTTGTGGAGTCAGCATTTCAAAGCCTCTCTTGTCAGGAAACTTCTGCTTTGTACTCCAAATGGGGATTCAACTGCACGTGGTGTACCTGGAAGCACTTGTGAATCTGTTCTGCCTGATGCCCATCCTTGCCTGGTGCCTCTCCCAGTACCCCTCACGACTGGTCTGGTGACCTCAGAGCCAGTCCGGGCACATTGGTCTTGGATGAGGGCACGGGATTAGTCACTGCCACCAAACAATGTCTAATTGTGTGCATGTTTTCCTTTCCTCCTGAAAAGGACTCTGTGTTGTCTGTGCTGCCTCACTGCTCCATTTTTCTACACTTTCTTAATTTCCACCAAAAAAAAAAAAGCCGCTCATTCCTCCCAAACTTGTTGCACGGCCCAACCTCAGCTCAAAGTGGCTTAAATGCATAAAAACGGTGTCACGAGGAGATTAAGGAACATACCTTGTGGCATGGTGAAAAGCAGCAAATGACAGCAAAATCCTGCTTTTTCACAAAAGACATGTGATCTTTATTGACTCTGTCCTCATTTTGGGATTATTTCAGAGGAGAGAACTCCGAATTGTAACAGATCTGCCAGCGAGAGCCAAGTGTCTCCAGTCACCTGGGCCTGCTCTTTGCTTTCTTACACAACCTTTTGTGTTGTTTAAATAGAATAGTCTGCTTCAGCTTTTTGTTCATTTGTTCTAATCTGGTGTTTTATTGGGTCCTATGGGCTCACCTGAAGTCGGTTTAGTAGGAAACAATCCTTGAGCAAGTGAAGTTATATCTGTCATTATTGTCACCTGAAATACTTCAGATGTCTTGCCAGTAAAAAAACCCTTGAGACTACCAGCATAGCACCTAAAAACTAGGAGTGAGACAAGCAAAGAAGGATGTGAGCAGATGGGAAGGGCCTGGAGAATTAGACATGGAAATCAGCAGGTAATGCCCAGGTCTGGGTACAATTAACCTGTAAATTTTCCCCTGGAAACTGAGAAAGGACAGAGTTCAGTTTGTTAGAACACGATGCAAAAACCCACCAAAATCCCCAAAGGGACCATTCAGTTAAGAGTGGAACTCAGTGATCCATGTGGGTCCCTTCCAACTCAGAATATTCTGTGATTTAAAGACAACTAGAGAAATTCACAGAAGGAAAAAAAAAAATCTCATGGAAATTAAAATATTTGAGATAGTAGAGGAGAGGAAAACTAATAATTTTAAAACTTCCCTTATCATTGCACATATTAGCGGAAAAAAAAAAAAAAGCCGTGTAATTATTATGGTAAACCAGGAAAAATTGAGCATTCCCGTGTTGCCAGGCAGGATTGCTGCCCTGTGGAGCAGGGCTGCCATCATGTGTTAAATGCCTGCACAAGCAGGAGGTGGAGTAGGAACACTCCGTTCCCCCTGGGAAACGACTGCGAAGAACTTCCAGGAAGTTTCGGGGCTTGGTGGTACTTGACGCGTGTTCAGCAGATCTCAAATGTCTCTGCTCGCTTCGGGATTTCACTGGGGAGTAAACAAAAGGCTTCCAGGAAATGTTCAGCAGCCTGGGGGACACGTCGTGGCTGAACAGGACTTCAGGGAGCAGCTGATAAAGTGGGTCACTCGACGAGATGTTCCACAAACAGTTGCTGTTGTTGTTATTATTATTATTATTATTATTATTATTATTATTATTTCAAGGCCAGGTTGGATGGGGTTCTGAGCAACCTGGTCTGGTGGGAGGCGTCCCTGCCCATGGCAGAGGGTTTGGAACTCAGTCTTTAAAGTCCCCTTTAACCCAAACCATTCTGTAATTTTATGATTCAAGAATGCTGTGCAGCAGAAGGGACATAAACTTTTATGTCACTTCCCTGCTTTTTCTGGTCCACTTTATCACTCACTAATGGTACAGTTGGGCAATGACCACACAATTCAGGAAAAAGTTTATAACCTCAGAAATCAAGACCCTTACACATAAAATGGGCAAGGTCTGGGACGTTATCAGATGTTTGGGTTGTTCAGTTCAGCTTATTCTATCCCCAAAGTGATATTTCCAACCTTCTCTAAAATTTTCTGTGGCTGATCTCAACAGCAGTTAGGTTCCTAAAATTATGTTGGGCCTTGTCCAACACTGTCCTTGTTCTCCTTATCTACAAAATAACCATATTTTCTGTATTTCACAGGAAAGAAGACCAGCATTTCAGGGACAATGAGAATTTGGGTACTTCAGTAAGAAGGGCCATGCAGGTGTTTCAGAAAGTTGTCATATCTGTGACCTTCGTATCAACTTTACCATCTACATCAATTAACTGCTTATCATTTGATATTTGATGTCCTTCTGCTTTAATGTTTTCAAGTGCTGAACCTGGGGTAGAGACAACACTGATATAATTCAACACTCACCTTCTCCTGACTGCCTAACTCCATAAAACATTTTACAGACGGTCCATATCCATGTTCATCCAGCTTGGTCAATATTTATGGATGGTTCAGCGTATTTGTATCGATCAGGAGAGACTCACAAATTATTCTGTCTGGGAAATGGCTTAAATGTTTTAAGTGGTCTTTCTTAAATTGATCTGGTTTTGACAGCAACAGTAGGAATTAATAAATGATACAATATGAATGCAGTGAAAAGATGATTGAGCTTTATTTAACGGGCAGTGTTCCTGCTCCTCCCCTTGTTGGCACCTAATATAATATTTTTTAATTCAAATATAAGAGCTTGAGACTACTATTCCAGAATTGCTATATATCCTATTCAGAACCAGACTGTCTTCATTCTGTGTATCCTGGAGGACATTTAGGGCACATTCTGTATATATCCTCTCCTTTGTTTACACTCAGATCGTTTGTTTTAAAAATGATTAGAGATGTTTGGCACTTTCCAGAAGTTTGGTGTTAAATTTTGGGCCTTAATAGACCTTCTCACAGGTCTTTTTTTTTTGTTTGGTTTGGGTTTTGTTTGTTTGGTTTAGTTTTTGTCTGTTTTGAAATCCTCTCTGCCCTCCTGAGGAAAACCCAGGCTGGAGGCAGGAGGAATGAGACTGCATCTGCCATCACCCTGCAAGATGGCTCAGCACTTTGATCCTGCTGCCAGCTTATTTGTGCCAACTCTGCTACTGGTGGTGTGTGTCTGTAATAAATGGACTTGGAGAATGCCAATGGCCAACCATCTCAAGGAGGTGTCAGAAAGAGGCATCAAACTACGCTAGATCTGAAAATATTTTGAATTTTAGCTAATTTCCACCCCATTTTCCATTAAACTAAGGAAGTCAGTCTGAGATTCCCAACCCTGCCCACATGATTTAGTCTCTGCCTTTAACTGCTCTGTATTATTTGCCGTTAATTAAAACCAGGCACTAATGTCCTGGGAGGGCTGGCTGGGCATCCTTGCCCTCAGCAGGTGCCTGAAGCTTTTCCTCCGGCACGGGATCCAGGTCTGGCACCTTCTGGCCCGCCCTGGCCACCGTGAACCTGCTCATGTGCAGGGCTTCTTCGTACACCGGCGGGGTGTCCGACGCCGAGAGGGGCGGCGTTCCCTGGGCAGCGTTGTGGGAGTGTGCCACTGCTAATATCCTCCTGGCAGCAGGCCCAAACACGGAGTGGAGAGCTGCAAGGGAGGAGACCAGAGCTGTTTGCCTCATCTGAAAAGCATCGTGTGGTTAGGGAGTGCGTCTGCAGGGCACGGGGTTTTCTCTCCCTGCAGCCCCTTCAGCCTTCCCTAAAAGGAGTGTGTGTGAAACCCCATCGATAACACCCCACGATTACTCCCTCCTGAAATGCCACTGAGACCTGCAGCTGCCCTAATTCCACCCAAACGTGTCTGATTCACCATCTGGCTGCATTTGCTACGAGGAGCGAGCACCTGAATTTGTAGGATGTGCAGGTGCAGCTCTCCCTCCATCCTGCGATGAACTTCCCTCTGTCAGCCTCGGGGTGGCACAATCTGGGCTTTTCAGAGTGCAGCCCCTCCCGTGGTGGTGTGTTGAAGTCCCCAGCACCCATCAAAGCCAACTCACAGGTGATGGTGCTCTGGAGGGTGCTGTCGTGGTCGAAAGCGATGACGGTGACCTCGTAGGGCTGAGGCCCCGACTCGTCCCCTGCCTGATGGCACTGAAAGCAGCACCTCACGCAGACAGAAACCAGACCACACAGGAGCAGGAGCCCACCAATCACCACCACCAACCTGGGAAGGGAGGGGACACGGAATTAGGACAGGAAGGTTTTGTCTGCAGGACACCTCATAATGTCTCTCGCTACCTCAAAGCTAAACATCTGCAGCCTTGTTCGACAGAGTTTGGACATTCCCCAGGGATGCAGATCCCTCATCCCTTCCAGGCACCTGTTCAAGTGCTGCACCATCCTCAGGGGAAGCATTTTTCCTTCTGTCTAATCTGAATTTTCCAGTATGCAGCTTGGCCAGCCACCTCAGGTGCTTCTGCTGAGCACCTCTGAGAAGTCTCTATGTCTTGTCTCAAGATCCCCCTTAGGTAGTGGAAAACTAAAATAGGTTGCGCTTTTAGCCTGCTCCAGGCTGAAGAAACCTGGTCCTTATTACTGGCTCTCAAGTGGACTTGTTTCAGTTTGCCAGCATCTCTTTTCGTGCTAGGGGACCAAAACTGGACTGGTCAGGAGTGACAAGCGGAGAGGAAAAATTAGATCTCACAGTCTTCTGGCTGTGCTCTCTCTCTCTTTAAATAATATAAATATATAAAGAATGTATTGTTATTATTAATGATAAATATATATTATATATTATATGTATTAATGCAGCTTTCTAGATGTTCAACAACTACCATCCTTTTAAATCTCATCCTGGTGAGAATTACTAAGGAAATAGACTTACCATGAATGCTTTATTAATGTTGTTCATACCCCTAAATTAATATGTAGAATAAAAAAGGGAGGGTGGTAAGTCAAGATTTGTTACAGATGATGAGGTAGCTAAGGAGCTGCCTGGCTACTGTAGAGCATTAGAGCACCCCAAGGAGAAGTGGGGGGTGGCATCACACTTGCACGTTTAATCCCACTCTTTGCTGATGGAACTGTCTAGAGATGCAGATATTTAAAGGATGTGATCTTACCAGATATACCACAAACGGTCCCACTCTGTGCCTGCACAGCTGAAGAGAAGAAGGTACAAAAAACAGTTACCCACAGGACACCAAATAAATGGGAAGATCCCTGTGGCACCTTCTCCCATCTCCCCTCTTATAGCCCAGCTCCCAAGTGGCACAATGATGAGAAAACTCGTGTTTTGAGGTGGACACAGTTGTCCAACCTCATCAGTCTCCCTGTCAGGTGAGTTTCCCTCCTGTTTGGCTTTCTCTCTTTATTGCCCTTCTGATATTTATGCCTGCCCGATTCCACTTGCAAACCTTACAGACCTGCATTCGCGTTTGTTTTGTCTTTTTTTTTTTTTTTTGTCAGTACATAATTATCCTGTCATTCTTACAGAGGACATCACTGATGGTGATGTTCACCAAAGCAGTATATTTCAAACCACTGAAATATTGAAATTACACCAAAGAGCTCTTAACTACTGCAGTTTTGAAAACAGGCAGTGGCAATGTTACCACATAATCAGTATGTTGGACAATAAAAATAGCAATTAATACACTTCACATTCAAAGCCATGGTAATTTAACATGAGTTTTAAATACTCACAATTAAATAAGCTTTTCTGGAAATTGTCAACCCTGAAGTCATAACACTCATGTCCACTTACTGCCTTTGTCCTTCATTCTTTTCTCCCCCCAAAAAAGAGTAATTTTGACAAATACTTACAATTCAGTGTTGAGGCAGCCTTCCTCACCTCTCACTTGGGGGAACTAAAAAGAGTAAACCAAAAAAACGACACAGCTCAATGAATTAAATTTTTGGCCTTTGCAACTTTTATCTCTGTTACCTGGACCATTCCCAGCCTGAATCTCCTACTGGGAGGGCTTCCTGTAATGTCTCTTCCATTGTTTCCATCCTGTATTCTGCTGGAGGTTTGAAGTTACTGTGGTATCAACTGCATTGTTTCATATCTTAACTTCCTGTAGTCAGTAAAATCCTGTTTAGTGCCGTTCCCAGCACAAACCCTCTCTTACCTTCATCCTCACCACGACTTTTCCTTTCTCCACCACAAGCTCCTGATCCTTCTCCGTGCTCCAGTGTTAAGAACCTTTAAATACCCTGCTTCATATAATTCACTGACATGAATTCTGCTCTGTCCCTCCAACATTCTTGTCTTTCTCCTTCTTTCAGGTGCCCTGACCTCTGTGTTACCCTCCCTGGAACAGCACCAAATATTATCTTCCATGCCTGTGCCTTTTATAAATCCAGTCCTTTCAAATCTCAGGGAAACTTTTTGTGCTGATGCTCCTCCATCTTTCCAAGGTCATTCCAGAGTGGAGACCCCACAGAGAGGAACGTGAGCTGTGACTTACCCATAAGGAACACCCTAAAACAAAGCAGATCATGTCTGAGCTGTGCATGCCCGTGAGGTGATTCTGTGGCCTCTTGGTGTCTCAGGCTGCTCAAAGTCTTCTTGTCCTTCCCAGTTTCAGCTCATCCTCACCAGGAGAAGGAGCAGGTTCCGTGCTCTGTGTTGAATCCAGTCTCTTCTTCCTGCTCTACCCCTTTCTGTCCTCTGCCCTTCAGGTTTTTGCTTTTTCTCTTTATCACTGGCAATTCCTGATTGTTTCCACCTGTCTCTTTTTGATGGCCTGTTCCTCTCCCTCTTTTGAAGGGATTTCCAAAGCCTTTCAGTCAGATCAGGAGAAGACCAGTAGCTACAAGTTCTGACTTTAGATGGTGAACTAGTTCAGCGAAGGGCATCGTGAGATCTCTGCAGACTTGACCCTTCCCTTCTAGGAGCAGAAAGGGTCTCCGAGTTTGCTCATTCCCAATTATTTCTCTCCCCGCCCCTACCCTCAGGGGAGTGGGTTGAAGGTCGTGTTATTGACCTTTTCTAAATGGAGTTCAGATTCCTCTCCCTCCTCCAGTACCTTTTCTGTCCTGGCACTCACATTGTCCTGTCTCTGGGGATCCAATCTGTTGGTTTTGAAGGGAAAGAATTTGCAATATAATAAATATATGTATAGCGTTATATATATGTGTAGTTACAGGTATATGTGTAGGTCTGTATATGTGTGTGTATATATATATATATATAAATATTCAGCACCTCTTCTACCACCCGTTTTTAAGGCTCTGCCACCATCCCTCTTACCTGGTAACCTCCTGCTATGTCAGTCCTGCAGCTGAGAGTTTTCACTCAGAGGTCCCTCTCCCAAAATTCCTGCGTGGCCATCCAAGCCCCCCTAAACACCTTCCATCACAGGGAATACACATTGATCCTCCTGTCCTGGATACTGTTTGTCCTGCAGCTGATTATATTAGTAGGTTCCATTCAACGACCCATTAATTTTCTCTGTCTTGTAGAACTGCTTAAGATCTCTGTTAGCGCTCATGGCCATTCAGAGGGTTATTATTACACGCACATGATTGTGTTCACCTAATCTTTCTCTTTTGAATAGCTGAGACAGAAAAAAAAAGAAATGCTCTGCTGTAATGTGTTACTATTTGTGCTTGGAAACCACCTGGGACTGGGGCATAAATGTTGGTTAAAGGCAGGAGAGCAAAGAGGGAAACTTGTTGCCCCATGTTGGAACCGCAGTCCATTCTCATTAAACTGGTGAATCATTAGCCTGCATTTTAGGGTTGATGATTTCAGAGTTGCAGAGCAGAACCAATGGATTCATGGACATAATGAAAGCTCCCAAGGCAGGCTAAAAACTATTTGCCATTCTCTAATTATAAAAGTTAGTGGTGCAGTATAAACATGCCTTAGCATTATTTTATTTATCTGTCCTTCCATCCATCCATCCATCCATCCCAGCCTACTGGAAAAAGGTTTCTGGGTCCCGATAGAGAAGTAAGAAAGAAAGAAACATGACTTATTTGCTTTGTATTTCTATGGGATTCTTTTTGCCTCTTTCTCCTAAATTCTTTTGTGTATTGTAGAAGCCCTAGAAGAAAAGACCCAGCAGAAGTGTAAAATAGCCTTTCCTGCGTGTATGGCTTTTGAAACTGGTGGGGTTCAACGTAGAAAAGAAGCGTAATTTACCAATTTTTTCCAGGGCTTTTTATTATCAGTGTGATAATTCAGTAGATTATCACTTAATTTTAACTGTTAATTTCAAATTCTGGTGGGATCCAATAGGAAAAACACCAGATAAAGTGATTAAAAAAAATTTCTAAAGAAAAAACAGCAGTGTGACGTGAAACAGTGACCTCTCCAAAAGCATATCATGATTCACTCTTACTGAAACATTGATTATACTTTTTCAACTCTTTTTCTTTCTGCACAAAGGACACCAGGATGCAATTTAAGAGAGCTCAACGTGATGAAGAACGAGCTGCAAGCAAATTTTTCAAATATGCTGCAAGAAATTAGGAAATCAGCTGTGCTTGGAAGGGGGAAAGAAATCCATAAAAATAATGGCAAATCAACAAGCTGTGATGAGAGCTTATCTTCCAACATGGCAGGGAGGGAAATGAGGTGTGTCTTCTGTTTCTACCCAGGTCTGTCTCCTCAGGTGAGTCCGTGTCTTCACGGATGTGACCACCTAGAAAGTAATTTTTTATCATATATTTCCATCTTTCTCTTATATAGGTATCCAGGCTGTGCTTTTTTTCCTTTTTTTTTTTTTTTTTTTTTTTTTTTTTTTTTTTTTTTTTTTTTTTTGAATCTCGCCGCGCCATCTGGTGGAGCTGCCGAAATGCGGCAGGGGAAGGTAAAAGGCGACAAAAAGCTTCTCGTCCTGGCGCAAAACGTGACGGGAGGGAAAACACTCAGTGGGTTCCAGACTCACAGCAAAGGATATCGGCGATATTATGCGCTCAGAGCTCTCCTTTCCAGCTGTATGTACCAGCACGTTCTTTCAGGCTCACAGAGGTCCTGTAGCTAAACTAAAAACATCCAGCAAAAAAAAATCCTCGGTGCCAGCCGAGAAAGCTCCACGCTGAGCTCCCACTCCTTGAATCGCATCCCAGCCCCTGGAGCCTTCACCTCGCCCTGGTGTTTTATCATCTGCACCGCCAACACTGGGCCTGGGTGCTTTCCCTCCCGAGGAAAGGTGATGTTATCCTCATTCAGGAGCCCACCTCCAAAATTTGGACGCAGCCTGCAAAATTTGGCTGCTGCCACACAAAGGGATCCCACGCAGGATAGGAAACCCTGGCTGTCTTTTCCCCTCCCAGCAGCAGATCATCACCTGCAACAGCCAGAGGTGGGCTGGGATGGAGGTGGGACAGGCCAAAAATCGATGTACTGCCATAATTTACAGGAGCCCAGCTCCACAATTTGTGTTCTTGTCTCCAAGAACTGAATATGTCCAGGGATTTATCCCCTCAGAAAAGGAGCCAAGAGACAAAGCTGTTGCTGGCCATTTACCCCTCCCTGTGCACCCAACCACCTCCAACCTCAACACTGGGGCAGGGTGATTCCCTTCCCAAGGGTTCTTCAGCCCTCAGTGGTCCCACAGCAGAAGGGTCCTCTGAGAGACCAGGGACGGTATTCAGCTCTCTGATTTCCTCTGTCTCCACAGCAGCTCTCCCAATATTCTCTTTTGGGTCTTTGAAATTCCTGCTCCCGAGGCAATCCGTGCCAAGGACACACCGGGCCAGTCACAATGGGGTGTTTTTGCCATTTATTCCCAGTCGGGCTCACTCAGCTTCCAGTACAGTCCACCAGACATGATATGGAGGGGGTAGAACACACAGTTTGGTCACACCCACACAGTTCTGAGCTTCCCCTGCTATCCCTGTAACTCCGACAATAAAAACAAACAAACTAACAGGCTGTATTTGTACACAGCAGATGTCAGATTTCAGGGTTGGTTACCACGGGCAAATGAATTTAATATTCTCACATAAAAGAGGTTTCTTAGAGTTTTGATGATTCGTTTTTACAATTTTCTATATGTTTTCCCCAGCAGGGCTCAAGTGTGACAACTTCTGGAATTACAATCAGAGGTGGTAAGGGGTGTAGGAGGAGGACTGTGTGGGTTCTGCCAGATCTTAGTAAAAATGGTGGAGGTGGTTTCCACAAGGCACTTGTCATGATTATTGCCCTGTTAATATGTTCTCTTGCTGTACACAATAACATAGGTACAAGCACAAATACATCAGGTTGAAAATGTATTTTCATACCTCAAAGACAATAAAAAGATACACATAAAATTTTCAGACATGCTCCAGTGATTTAGGTTCATTTCCAAACATGGAAAATGCATGTGGAGCAGCAGGAGTTCACTTCCATAATTCTACATGTATGAATTACTTAAGCCTATAACAACCAGATAGACATTCTCGTTCTCCATGAGGTGAGAGAGTCATACCCAGGGGGGGAATTAGTTCCTACTATCTTATATAACCAGTTTAGGATGAAGAGAATAATCCTCTGAAAATGTATTTTTCTCTCCAAAGGCCATGTAGGGAGCCTGACCAACAAGCAGAGACATAAGAAACCAAATATCTGCTATTTAATCCTGGGTGAGGCAAGTTCTGTGTTTAGTATCTAACTCCCCTTCCAGGCATTCACACTGAAATCAGATACCTAAATCCTTTATTTCTGGCTACTATGTGTCTAAAAGACAAAATCTGCAAGTGGGACTAAGAAATGTAGGTCCCTGGTTGAGTGGAATGGGAGAAAATGAACTAATCCTAGTTTAGTTCTGTCTTGGTTGGAGAGGGTTTAAAATCTGACTGGTGGGTTTGCTGGCTTAGAAATAATGATGATTTTCTGGGCAACACACAATAATAGTCTGAATTGTCCAGTGACTGCCTGGAGGACACGAATTCAATATAGCACAACAAAAAGACAACCTGTTTTTTCCATTTTCTCCCACACAGACACATACACATAAAAAAATCCACAATATAATTGTAATCTATAATCTAAGGGGACTTGTAGGTTTGGTAGAATTTAAATCATAATACAAAAGTTTACATGATGATATTCAGGATGCAACTCCTCTGTCCTTAGAGGATGTGGAGATCTTGCATTATTCTTGACAGCCTTGAAACGCTCTCAAATAGTAAAAGAACAGCTCTCAGATTTTCTAGGGTTTTTGAAGCAAAAAAAAAAGAGTGCGATCCAAACCATGTGTATTTGGTTGCCAATGGGGCTGATTTTTAATTAATTTTTTTTTTTTTAAATAAAACAACCGTTGTCAAACAAAACAAACAAAACAGGAGTTCTGTTTTGTGCAGGATCTAACTTTGCACGTAGTTTTGGCCAAGATTAGGAACTATCAAGGCAAACTGTGGGGCCTCTGATGTGCAGTTGTCCCTCAAGGATCAGAAGGTTTGTAAATCCCTGCTCCAGTCCTGTGGCTTTGTTCACCTTTTATAGTGATGAACTCTGAGGTCTGGGGTTTTCTCATCGTTCTCCATATAGAGTCCTTAGAGCTGCTCAGGTTGCTCTGTTGAAATTTTGCTGTATATATTTTCCACAACACTTTTCCCCATAGAAACCAGGAGTAATCGCTTTCAAGGAAGCTGTGGAAAATATTTCAAATAATACCGAGATTCTGTTGCTTCCCCCCTCCACTCTTAATCACAGTAAATATTTAAAAGGGACAGGGAAGATATTCAAAGACCAGGCTGCATTTTCCATTACATTAAAAAAAAAAAAAAAAAAGAAAAGAAATTAGAAAATTAAGTCTTTGCTACTTCATTAACATTTTCTTGGTAGATCCACTATTATTTTTTTAGATACAGTGAGCAATGTGTAATTAAAACAAATATAGCAAACCTTTCTTTTTTTATGTAGTAAAATTAATCTTGCAGCTGTGTCAGTCTGATCTTTTTATGTGATGGCACGAGAACTGACACAGCTCTGTGGGGCTTCTGTCACTGTGACAAATTTAGAAATAAAATAAAGACTTGACTTATATCATTTACTCTGAATATGTATTTATATTGCTATGTTAGCATAAAACCTTGGTGTAAATTATATAAGTCAAGGAATTTGTCCCCACTTTCTCAGCACAACATCCATGTCTTCTCCGAAATGGCTACTTGAGTATTCACAGT